GATAAGGAAATCAGACAGGATGTAGACAAACAGGGAAGCAAAATTGGATTTCCACCAAATAATAGCTGAATAAAGATGGTCAGAATGATTAAGCCTTTGCATGATTCGTTTAAGTAAGGATATGATAGACTTCACATAATTATTTCAGTAGCTACATTTTTTTAAATTCCTAGAATAAAAAATCCCCTCATTTTAGTGAAGTTTTAATGGAACAAAAACAACGAATTAGAGAACCATAGTTCAACTCTGTCAAAGTCCGGAGTCCAATTTTTGCCTTTCAGAGAAATAATGCATTTTAAGCTGGTTTTCAGTCTCTTTTCACCACCACATTCATCACCATTATCAACACCGTCAACATCATTATCATTCCCACCACCATCATCAACACCATCATCATAAATAACAACTTGCTTTTCATCTGATAAAGCAATGGGAACATGGCACACTATATGGTATTGCGGCATTAATTCATTCTTTTTTTTATTGATTAAGGTATTATGTACGTGTCCTTATCCCTCCGTTGCCCTCCCCGCTGCTCATGCCCTCACTCCTTGGTGTCTGTGTCCATTGGTTATGCTCATATGCATGCATACAAGTCCTTTGGTCGACCTCTCTCCTTTACCCCCACCCTCCCCTACCGTCCCTCTGAGGTTTGAGCATCTGATCGATGCTTCTCTGTCTTAATTCATCATTTACATTTCAACTAGAGTCGTGGTCGGCAAACCGCGGCTCGCGAGCCACATTGGCCTGGCCTGTGGGATTGGGCCGAAACCAGCTCTCCAACATCCCTCAAGGGGTCTTGGATTGCAAGAGGATGCAGGGTAGGCTGAGGGACCCCACCAGTGCACAATCAGGGCCGGGGAGGAATGCGGGAGGTTGGCAGGCCAGGTAGGGACTGCGGGAGGGCTTCCAGGGCATGTCTGGCCCATCTTGCTCAATCTCAATTGGCCAGACCCCAGCAGCAAGCTAACCTACTGGTTGGAGCATTTGCCCCCTGTGGTCAGTGCATGTCATAGTGACTGGTTGACTGCCCCCTGGTGGTCAGTGCACATCATAGTGAGCGGTTGAGCAGCCTTAGCATAGCATTAGCATATTACACTTTGATTGGTTGAACGGCCAACCGGACACTTAGCATATTAGGCTTTTATTATATAGGAGCATAACAAAAGCAAAATATATACATTTTTAAAAATTTCTCCCCAATGATTTTTAAAAGGTAAACATAGATTATGATACTAAGACTAAATTATAAACACTACTTTAAGACTTAGGTGCCTTAACATACTATTAATGGTGAGTTGGCAAAGTAAATTATAAGTGCCTATGAAACCAGCACTATGTAAGTTGTGCTATTATTAATATCCCATATAAAAAGTAGGACAAAAATGATAAAATGAGTGTCATAGTGTTTAAAATATCCTACTAGTAAGTGATACTTATACTTTATTTGATTCTTCTGAAATTTGAGAGATTTCTAGATACTCAAAATTTGTAAGACCACAATAAAAAATAAATAAAATTTAAAAAACTTTAAAATTGTATAAGAAATTTCAATGTAAGTAGAGAAATTTAGTTTTTGCACATTTTTCTGATAGCAAAAACCACGCTCAAACCTATGTCACCTCGACCATGTTAAAAAGAGTCATGATGATGTAATGAGCATATGGT